ATACCCCTTTGTTACATAAAGATTCCGAGATCGGTGTAGAAGTCAATATTTTGCAACAAAATCCTGAAACAGAAACCATCGAGCCTATTCAAATTCACCAGCAGAAGTATTCACAGATAATACTCAGAACCATTCCTGTAGAAATTGAAGGACCGAAGGGTAAGAAAATTATTTATGCTTTACTAGACGAAGGCTCCACTATCACTTTAATAGACAAAGACCTAGCAACTGACATTGGTTTGACAGGGTATACAGAGCCACTTTGTATGCAATGGACAAATAACCAACATCAAACAGACAATACATCACAAAAGGTTAGCTTAAAAATTAAAGGTACATTTTCTGACGCTAAGTCATATATTTTAAAAGACGTCAGAACCATCGATAATTTTATATTACCGTCACAATCTCTCGACATGAAAATGGTTGCTGAACACTGGCCCTATTTAAAAAATTTACCTATTAATTCATTTAATGATGTTCGACCAAAAATGCTTATTGGTACTGATAATTACGACTTGACAATGCCAAGACATTACGTTGAAAACACGAGATATGATCCAAAAGCAACTTTAACCAAATTAGGTTGGGTAATTAACGGTCAAATAGTTCGAGGAAAAATAGAAACTAGCTTCAGTTTTCACGTTTGCGAAAGAAATTTAGAGGATGACATGTTACATACCTTAATACAAGATACTTATAAATTACATGATGATAATTTAGACAGTGACATACCACTATCCAGACAAGACCAATACGCCTTAACCGTTATGGAAAAAACTACTAGAAGAATAAGCGATCGTTTTGAAACTGGGTTAATATGGCGAAATCATAATTTGGTGACACCGGAAAGTAAAACAGTAGCTTTAAATAGATTGTTCTGCAATGAGAGGAAAATGGATAAAGATTTAGAATTTGGAAAAGCCTACTGTGAAAAAATCGAAGATTATTTAAATAAAGGATACTTAAAAAATGTAACAAACAATGATGGTAATAGAGATATGTCTAAACTTTGGTACCTACCACACTTTGCTGTTTTTAATAAGCCAGGAAAAATGCGAGTAGTTTTTGATGCGGCAGCTAAGTCACACGGAATAAGTTTAAATGACATGTTATTTTCAGGTCCAGATCTTTTAAAACCTTTAATAGCAATACTTTGGACTTTTAGACAATACAAGATAGCATTTTGTGGCGATATTGCAGAAATATTCCATCAAGTTCAAATAAGAGAAAAGGATCGTGCAGCCCAGCGAATATTATGGCGTGGCTACAATCGTTCTGAAAAACCCTTAGTTTTGGAAATGCAAGTAATGACTTTTGGGGCCACATGCTCTCCTTCTTTAGCTCAATATGTTAAAAATAAAAATGCTAGTGAGTTTCAAACACAATTTCCTGAAGCATACCATGCCATTTTAAATAAACACTATGTAGATGATTATCTAGATAGTTGCGACTCTGAAAGCGAAGCAATAAAATTAATTGATAAAGTAATTCTTGTTCACAAAAAAGGAGGTTTTCTGATGCGTAATTGGCTATCTAATTCAAAAAACATACTCCTACATTTGCCAGAAGACATGAGATCGAAAAATTTAAAGGATTTTAGTTCTGAATCAACTTTACCTATAGAGAAAATATTAGGAGTTCAATGGGACCCTGAAAAGGATGAATTTAAATTTAAATTAAATACTGGCAAAATATCTGAAAAAACTCTAAAACTTGAAGAATTTCCCACCAAACGAGAAGTACTTAAAGTGGTAATGAGCATTTTTGATCCACTAGGTTTCCTCAATAATATAATCATAAAAGGTAGAATCCTGTTACAAAATATTTGGCGTGAGAATATAAACTGGGATGAAAAGATTTCACCAAACTCCTTTCAACGTTGGAAAAGTTGGATAAACGAACTTGGTACAATAAAAGATATAACAATTCCTAGATGTTACTCACTAAATATTCCCACGGCAAGTAATATTCAATTACATTCCTTTTCCGATGCCAGTCAGCAAGCGTATTCAGCTGTTGTTTATCTAAGGATATCAAGTCAAAATGGTGTCGAAATTTCGTTTCTATCTTCTAAATCGAAAGTATGTCCTTTGAAAGAAATTACTATACCTCGTTTGGAATTGGAAGCCTCATTACTAGCCAGTAAGCTAGTTAAACGAATAAAAGAATCCTTGGAGTTACGTATTGATGAAGAAATATATTGGACAGATTCTCGAATCGTCCTATCATGGATTCAATCAGATAAAAATCGATTGAAGCAGTATGTAAGGAATAGAGTCCAAAAAATTCTAGAAAGCTCAAACAAAACCTGTTGGCGTTGGTTACCAACAAAATTAAACCCAGCAGATCATGCCACCAGAGATGAAAATCCAAAACATTCCGAAGCTAAGTGGTTAACAGGTCCTGCATTTCTGCATCAACCATTTTCGCAGTGGCCGGAAGGTACATTAGATGCTAATTTTGACAAGTCAGAGATGACAAAAGAAATGAAAATGGATAAAAAAGAATTCGTAGGGGCCGTTACTACAATAATGAAGACTCTTATACCTTTACCAGACTGCCAGCGATTTTCCTCATGGACAAAACTAGTAAGAACAACAGCATGGGTAATAAGATTTTTAAATCACTGTCGTAATAAAAAAACTACCACAAACAAAACATTGACCGTAGAAGAATGTAGTAACGCAGAATTGGAATGGTGGAGAAAAATACAGTTTTTAGCATTCCCTGAAGAAATTCTCACTCTCAGAAGAAATGAACCTATTTCGAAACAAAGCAAAATTTTCAAGTTGTCACCATTTTTAGACAAATTTGGAATTCTTAGACTAAGAAGTAGAATCATCAATGATATACCGGGATTTGAAAAAAATCCGGTTATTTTACCTCATGATCACAAATATTCAGAACTTATAGTGTCATTTTTTCATCAAAAATTTAATCACCAAGGAGTGGCAACCGTAAAAAATGAAATTAGACAAAAATATTGGATTCCTAGACTTAGTAACCTAGTTAAAAAAACTCTTCGTCAGTGTAATGTTTGTAAAGTTCTGAAAACCACTCCCCAAGTCCCTATAATGGGAAATCTACCATTAGCGAGAACTACACCCTATGTAAAACCATTTAGTTTTTGTGGTATCGACTATTTTGGACCGTATCTGGTAAAAATAGGACGACGAAGAGAAAAACGATACGGTGTTTTATTTACCTGTCTGACTATTAGAGCCATTCACCTTGAGCTAGCAAATTCCCTTACCACTGATTCAGCAATCATGGCGATCCAAAGAATGTCTGCAAGAAGAGGATATCCTACGCAACTGTTCAGCGATAACGGGACCAACTTCAGAGGTGCTGACAAAGAACTTCAAGCAGCCTTAAAAGAGTTCGACCAACAAAAATTTAACGATAAACTGTCAATCCACGGCATTCAGTGGAACTTCAACCCTGCAACAGCTAGCCACATGGGAGGAGTGTGGGAACGTCTTATACGGACAGTTAAGACAGCACTAAAGACTGTACTAAAGGAAGAAGTACCCAACGAAGAAGTCCTCCAAACGCTTTTTCTTGAAGTGGAAAATATAGTAAATTCCAGACCATTAACCGAAATTAACGTCGACAGTCAAGAAGAAGAAGCTCTAACCCCAAATCACTTTTTGTTAGGGCCGCACTACAACCAAACAGAAGGTAATGTCCTCAAAAATTTACCAACGGACGGTAGCCATCTAAAAAAAACAATGGAAAATTGTTCAAAATTTAAGTAATAAATTTTGGACCCGTTGGATAAAGGAATATCTGCCTACACTTCATACAAGATCTAAGTGGAACGAAGACCAAGAAAAAATAAAAAAAGATGACGTTGTTATTATTGTTGATGACCAAAACCATAGAAATCTGTGGTTGAAAGGCAAGGTAATTGCAGTATATCCCGGCAAAGACGGAAGAATACGTGTAGCAGACGTCCAAACAAACACCGGCGTGTACAGAAGACCTGTTTCGAAGCTGTGTATTCTTCAAATTATTCACGGAAATGAAGCTACATAGTTCTTCATTTAGGGGGGGAGAATGTTGTTGTTATATTGTAATTATTTGTTTATATTTTTGATCCTACTGTATATAGGAAAAAATGTCAATGTGACTTAAGGTCAAATAAATTATTCTTCTTGTCAGTCTTAAAAAAAATACTCATTTTAATTGATTCCACTAAATAGAACCAGACAAACCCAAAAATAGCTCGATAGTCAATTGAGCTTCAAGACGGCAGTCAGCCACAATAAAATTGAGGAGTTTTCCCATGTAATCCAATCAGAGTTTCTTTTTGGAAAATCTTAAAATCATTTAGAATTTTTTCCAAACGATTGTCACCAATTACCTCATCAATTTGTGCACGTTTTTCTTGCAAATTTTCGAGTAATAGTTTAATATCTAAACCAACTTCAATTCCTTCCTTCTTCATAAACAGTTCAAACTGCAGGATTTGTAAGAATAAGTACATTGGTATGTGTAATCTCTTACATTTATTATCTTATTTATCTTTCCTGACAAAACACCCGCCACGGAACCACTTCCAATTAGGCCGCTATCAATGAGTACTGTTTTCAAGCAGCAACCAGAAATAAAAGTTCCTATCGCTTTATTGAAAGCCATTTGAATATGGAATCCGTCGATGTGTATGAATAATCCCGTGAATTTTTCAAGTAACCTGCAATGGCAAAGCGATTTTTGCTATTCCCAGGTCATAGGTGACAATCACATAATCTTCATCACACTCATCAGCGAATTTTACGGCCCTCTTCATAGTTTCCAAAACAACTGATTTGTCGGTCGGAGGTTGGGTAATCGGCATCAGATACAATACCCGTTGTTTGCGATTTTTAACATAGGATAGTGATGCCAGCTGCGTAAGAAACCATCCAAGTTAAATCTATATTTTGAATTTTTTGCATTAGGTGTTAATTCAGGAACAAAACTTTTAAATATCCTTCTTCGCTTTTTAGGAGTCATCAATTCTTTATTTCATCGTTGCGCTCTTCAATAACATCGCACCCTTCATTTTTAATAATATCCTGATACACTATTCCTACAGTGTCATTGAGTGTGGTTTTGTTACTCGCGCTTTCAATAAAACGATCGAAATTATCGAAGGCGCAACAATGCAATCCTTTCTTCGTGATGACAGTTGATGGACAAACATTAGAGGCTTGCATACAGGAGTACGTAGCTTCCGTTTCTAATTCCTCAAGTACATCGTAACTACATATATGACCAAATCTATGTAATACTTTAACATGTTTTGCACTATTTGTCAAACTTATGATTATGCTACCAAGGTTGATATTTTTATGTGGTAAAATTTTGACATTAGAAACTGCAAAAATTGTATCACTACAAAATGAAAAAACAAGCCTAACAGTTTTAGGACTAGACCGTCTCTTATAATTGAATGCGTCAATCAAAATGTTGAAGGATATCCGGATATTCACACTCGCCTTTTAATAAATGTTCAATACTAATTTTACTTGAGTCTTAGTAGTTAGAATTAAACGTCACAAAATTAATGCAGCTTTTTGTACAATATCAATATCTGACAAAGTATCCAAAGCAACATCGCAATACCTTGCAGGAAATATAAACTTCGTTTTTCTATGCCGTTGAAATTTAATTTTTTTTTTCAAAATATTTTTTAATCTTGACAGATAAATGTTGCAAATAAATACCGTCGGAATCAATATTCCCTTCATATTTATCTGTAAAGGTTTCGATAATCATTGATGTAGTGAATTACAACCTCTAATGCTGCTTTCCTACTGGCTCGTTTTTTGTGCCATTCTCAGACATTACAACGATTTTGTCTTACGTAGGCATAATTATAATATTTCTTGCAGATAGGGTGGTAAGAGATAGGTCTATTTGTTTCCTTTGCTTCTACTATCACATTTACTAATTCTAAATCATCTCACTTCAACGCATTCTCTAATAGTTTGTCAAAAGTCTTATAATTAGCAGTGGCACACATTTTTTCTAAGCGACCTTTACGCCGTTTTCGATTCTTTTTACATTTGCTTTTGACAGGTGTTGGGTTTGTTTCTATTTCCATAGAGTCTATATCTTCAGGCACATTTTCTTCTTGAGGTTTATTGACTTCCTCGCCACGAATAGCGGCAATGTCACTGAAGACATATAAACTTTTAAAAATTATACTCTTAAAAAATACGCATTGGGTAAAAAGTGTTTAAATGAAATTTTTTCTTCTTACACCCTTAAAAAAATTAATGACTATTTAAAAATATTAATAATTTGACTATAATTTCCAAAAAAGTTAAATTTTTAACGTTTTTTCACTGAATGTTATCTATAAGATGACACTTAATGCATTAATATTTAACAATAAAGACAATCTTGTCAAATAAATAATAGTATGAGAGCCAACTGCAAATTTCAACCGTCATCTGATAACGAAATGAAATATGCTTCAAAGGCCTGTAACAATATTGTACTTTACCAAATTGCACCTGTGGCAATCCGTATCCTGAGCAAAGTGGCTGAAAAAAAATTATTTTATATTTAAAAAATCACGAAAGACATTACAGCGACAATTGTGTTTGCCCTGAAAATTACAATTCTAATTCATGGTGAACCTAGCTTTTAAACCTGAATTATTAATATTTTTACCTACTTTTTAAACCTTATGCATATGTGAAAGGAAGAAGGATGGCATTGTATAAACCATTTGCAGATATAGTCAATAATCAATATAAACTCTTATTAGACAATTATTTTAAAGCATAATCATAGTAGTTTTTTGTCGTTTCCATGGCAACCTGTAAAAATGAATCACAGTAATAGGCATACAAATAAATTTTTAATTCAGCAAAAACCGATTCATATTTTTAAAGATTTTTACCTACTAATCGTGGATAGATGTTTTTGTGCGATGTTGAGACAAAGAAAATGTTTCTCTTTAACGATATATATCAAGATATTTGAATATGTTATTTTCTGAAAAACTTTAAGGGCAAACAAAATTAGCGCTGTCATGCCTTCTGATTTTTTTAATATAAAATAATTTTTTTTAACCACTTTGCTCAGGATTGTGATTGGCACAGGTGCCATTTGGTAAAGTTCAGTATTTTTACATGCTTTTGGGGTATATTTCTTTTAGTTATCAGATAACGGTAAAAATTTGCAGTGGGCTCTTGGGCTATAAATAAATAGAGAGGAGATTATATTACCCAAAAATTAGGGTATTATGGAGGTACTCCAAGTTATGCAATGTGCTAACTTACAATATTATTAGAAGTAAAAATTTTGTTTAGTTATTATAAGGTACTCACTTATCAGAAGGACCTGGAGTTGAAATCGTCCTGTGTTGAGATTTAAGTGCATTGAAACGATTAGCGCAACTGGAGTGATATCCAATTGTATCACTCACCTTTGAAGGAAGCTCACATTCACCGTACTTCAATTTGTAGAATTTTAGGCATTCAATATTTATCCTTAATTTTGATAAACATTCACGGTCAAATAATATTATATTCTCGTGGTTGGATTGTTTGCAAATAAAACAGCTTCTCGTGACCGTATTTCCTGAATTTTCGTCGATGCTGCTTCCAAATAACTGTAAATTATCTATAAGTATTTATTTTACATATTAATGGAACATTATTGTTGAAATTCGCCATATAAAAAAAATAAAACTAAAAACCTAAATATCACCCTAAATAATCTAAATATCGATTCTCAAAGTTATTTTATAATAATTTTATTATAAGAGTTGCCTCGTGGCCGGACTATTCAACAACTAATTTTATACATTTTAAATGTTTATTAACCTAACGCCCTTTTATATTATTGTAAAAATTCAAATATTTCATTTTATTAACTAAATAAATGTATATCATAGTACTTACCAATTATTTAATTTGAAGAAAAATAACTAATGTAATGAACACAACAACCTGTAACTTCAATTTTAACCAAAAAAATAACACACAATAATTATTTAATCCAATAACTTGTATAATTTGAAATAATGTCACATAATATCATAGGAACATCAACATTTTCTAATCGACTTCAAGAAAATCATTTTGATATCTCAAAAGATTTATCTCATGACATTCTTGATTGTTTTAATATTTTACATAAATGCAATTTAAAATGGTTTCACGAAGTGTCTTTTCCATAGAATACGTGATTGTGATCATCCTTTGAAAAGGAAAATATTCAAGAAGCTTGCGTAAAAATTAATGCTGACCTCATCTCTCTTGCTAGATTTTCTGACAAATATTGTTTAAGTATAAATCCAACTAAATCCGTAGTCCAATTATTTGGAAGTCCTACAGCTAGAAAAAAGATTATTAAATATGTGAACATTAGCTTGGATGGTCAACAACTGCCGCTTCTTTCATGTGCTAAGAACCTAGGTATTCATATAGATAATTCACTTCGCTTGTCGACAAATATTGTAATAAAATCCTATAGTAGTTTAAAACTCCTATATGCAAATAAAAGCATATTGAATAAACGAACTAAAGCCATGTTATATGATTCTTTTGTCCTATCTCACGCCAATTATGGTGATGTGGTCTATGGACCAAGTTTGTTAGGTGTTGAAAAAACTCGCTTACAAAAAATACAAAATTCACCTGTTGGTGATTTTGTATATTTAGAAATTTTTGCCTTTTGACAATTTATGCAAGATTTTGACCATAAGTGTATATCTTTGCTCATTCTTGGCCGAAAATATCTATTTTTTATTAATTTTAAAGTGCTCTTACCTCCTGTGTGCGCCACGTTATGTACCTTAATAAAAATATTATAACGTTGTGACTTGGGAATGTAAGGTTTTAAAGTATTATTAGTATTTTCACACCATACATCTGCTGGTGGGAAATTAACTTGAACTTTTTGTAAATGAAATTTGTTTTTATTATTATTTTGATTTTGTGACTCTAATAAACCTTTTAATTCTAAATCTAATTTTTGTTCGTCTCCTATTATTTTTAAATCTAATTCCGATTCTATTTTTTCTACTGAAATAAAATCTAATTCCATTCTATTTAAAAAATCTGCGACTATTACGTTTTTGCTACCTACGTAAAACACTTTATTAGTAAATTGTAAAATATATTCTATATATCTGAATTGTCTAGGAGATCTATCTGTTTTGGAGAAAATTGCTTTTTCAATTGGTTTATGATCACAAAAAACTTTAAAATCTTTTGATTCTAACATATATCTAATATATCGAAAACACTATAGTTTAATTGCGATTTGGTTAATTTCTTTGAGAAAAAAGCGATGGGTTGTCTAACGCCATCTACTTCTTGTTCAAGAACACCACCTACACAGGAATTACTAGCATCTGTTGTAAGTGATAGAATGGATTCCTCTGAAGGATGTGCCAGAAAAGATGCTTTAATAAGTGCTTCTTTTACTTCATTAAAACTCTTTTCATAATCGAATGGCCAATCTTTTATAATTTTAACTTTATTTTTGTCTAAAAATGTTATAAAATCGTGCAAAGGTGCTAAAATTTGGGCGAATTTTGGAACGAATTTGTGATAAAAATTTATCATACCAACAAAACGTTGTAATTGTTTGAGAGTATTCGGCCTAGGAAAATTTTTAATACATTCTATTTTTTCGTCTGAAAGAAATAATCCTTCCGCTGAAATAGTAAAACCTAAGAAATTAATTTTTTCAACTCCAAAAATGCATTTACTTGGTTTAACGTTAACGCCAAAAGAGTGTAATCTTTCAAATAAAATATCCAAATTTTTAAAATGATCAATTGAATTTTTGCTAGCGACTAAAATGTCGTCTACATAGACGAAAATAAAACTTCGGTAATGAATCTTTGAAAGGTATTGCCAGCGTTTCGCAATCCAAAAGGCATTCGGAGAAATTCAAAAGATCCAAAAGTAGTGGTGATTGCTGTTTTAAAAATATCTTCTTCAGCCATCGGAATCTGGTGATAGGCCCTAACCAAATCGATTTTTGAGAAAATTTTACAACCATGACATTTAACATTAACGTCAGAAATTAAACTTAAAGGAAATCTGTCAGGTACTGTTACTTTATTTAAAAATTTGTAATCTCCACAAGGTCTCCAATCTTTTGAGTCTTTTTTTTTGGACCATGTGTAAAGCAGAAGTGACATAAGAAGATTAAGGTCGGCAAATGCCTAATTCAATCATTTGATCGAATTCTTGTTTAGCAATTTGATATTTTTTAGAATCTAAACGTCTAGGTTTACAAAAAGGTAAGTTTCCTTCTGTTATAATATGATGTTTAACGTTATGTTTTTCAGATAAATTAAAATTTGGAGATGAAAAAATTCCAGGATATTTTTTAAAAAGTTCCGTATATTTAGTCTCAACATTAAATAGTTTAGGTGAATTGTCTTTAGTTTTAAAATTAAAAATTTTTCCAATAGAATCTAATGAAGTTTCACTATCGCGTATTTTAGAATTTTTGAAATCCAAAATTAGGCCAAAATGAGTTAAGAAATCTGCACCTAAAATTGGTTTATTTACGTTTGCAATGGTTAAAAGAAAAGGAAATACTCTTCGCAATCCAATATCGATATTAAGAAATTTTTTTCCATAAGTAGATATTGTATTGCCAGAAGCTGAAGTGAGAATAAACTCTTTATCTATTAATCCTTTGAAAATTTTGTTTGGAACCACGCTAATATCAGCTCCTGAGTCAACCAAGAATCCTAAATTAATTAATTTATCAAAAAGAAATAATCATTTAGAAGATTTTCCACCTATACTACCTAATGTTGATTTTACTCGTTTTTTGGAATATAATTTTTGAAAGTTTCGTACATTAAGCAAGAAGGTCCTGCATATTTATATGCGTTCTTCTTATATTTACTATGATAAAAACATAATGAATCATTCGATTCATTTTCCTTATTGAATTTACGAAAATATCTATTTTTGCTTCTAGATCTTGAAGAAGATCTACAGTAGCATTCTTGATTGGAATCATCACGTGATGTGTGAGAGGATCCCTTATTTTCCAATATCATAATCTTTTTTTCTAATTCATTTTGTTTATTAATTAAATCACCCACCATTAATTTAAAATGTTGATTTAAATCATTTGTTGATTTGGAAAGATTTAGAATTTCGGTATTTTTATTAATAGAAAAAACTTTGTCTTTGTTACCAGTATAATTAGAAAAATTATCAACTGAGGTTTGAGGATCCTCAACTGGCAATGTCAGACTGTCTGTAGGCATCATATATGATCAAGATCGATAAAAGATACCAACAAAAACACCCCACTTACCCGAAAAAAGGTATCAACCATAAATGGAAATTGTTTTCTTGGGTGGGATCTTCAAAATGTCTTGTCGGGTGTAGGAATCTTCTCTCCGGTGTGGAATCTTCTGTCGGGTGTGGAAATTTGTCGGGTGTGTAATCTTCTGTCGGGTGTGGAATCTTGTCGGGTGTAGAATCTTCTGTCGGGGTCTTATGTTCTAGTCTTGGATGTTATTCCGGGATGCTCCAAAGGGGTTCCTTGCAGTTGTAGTGTGCTCGTTCGGGGTCACCAATTGTAGATAGCAGGAAATCAGAATCGCAGTAATTAATAAAATTTTATTTTAAATTATAAAAAAGCGTTATATAAAAAATGTTGTCAAAGGTACGTCTTGTCTTGTTCTTTTTGAAATCAGTAATCAATCCATCTTTTTGTTTTCTTTTCTATAGTTACCCTCCATCGGATAAGGAGGGTGCTAGTGTACGCAACTATCGACCAAGATCATAATATATGTGATATTATAATGGTACCATCTGACATTGACACTTGACCAACCTCAAATAAAAACTGACTAAGAAACCTTAAAATAAATTGACGTAAAAGTCAAAACTAAAGGTAAGACTATGTGGTGCTATGATGTCGCCACAGTTATACAACGCCAAGTTTTGTAACACCCTAGTTAAGATCATATGTATTTTAAGTTAATACTTATTATTTTAGATATAATTTTAGTATTAGTTTTTCTTATTCCGTTTTTTTTTCTTTAAGTTATCGAGGTTGAGTGGAAGAGCAGCTTCTATATTTGCTTATGCAAATCTGAAAGCTGAACTTTGCCTTTTGGCTAATTATTTTTAATAAATTATACTATTTTAATTTTGTAATTTTCACATGCCAATAAAATCATATTTATTTATTATTATTTATTTATTAAATTCTTGGATATCTACTTTTTCATGTTTAGTAGCTGCATTTTTATTTTATACATACATTAATTTTATAAAAATTCAAAAATGGACCAACATATCTTTGTAACGAATCTGTTAATAGGGCCAAGTCTTTTCACCTCGGAGTAAAGTTGAAAGTAACTACTTGCTGATTAAACTATAGGAATATTGTTTGTTAATCTGTCAAGTAAACCTACATGTAATTTTACTCAGAGGTTAAAAGATCGACCCTTAACAAGTATTTTAAAGTTTATATTTAATAGCCCTTTGAAAAAATATATAAATTTTTCTATTAAATAAACATATTGTTAATTTAGCACTAAATTCATATTAAAATTTACTATACGAATAATCACCGAACAATAAATAATAATAACCCTGCATAAATTTGTATTTTTTTTATCATTCTTTTTTAGAATAATAATATGCTCCATGTCCGATACTCAAGCCTTTTGTTATATCGTTTTAGAATTACTTTTTCTAAGCATATGACAAATGGCATGCGTGAGAAAATGGTGGACATTTCTAGATTTTCTTGTCAACTTTTTGGTAAATAAATTATAAAGATATAAATAATATGATGGCCATGTCCGATACTCAATCCTTTTGTTGTATAGTCTTAGAATCACTTTTTCTAAGCATATGTCAAACGGCTTGTGTGGGAAAATTGTGGCAATTCGCATACATTTTTTCAGCAACTTTCCTATGTTCTGAAAATATGAAGACCACTCTCTGCACTCAAGCCAATATGTTTTTCGGGCTAGTTACGATGTATGTTTTCATACTCCCGATTGGCTTGTGTGGAAAACTCGGTTGAAATATCGATTTTTTTTACAAGATTACGGCCTTATTTCAACCCTTTATCCTCTTGAAATATTAAAGCCTTTGGTTTTTTGAAGCCTAGTTCTATTAACTAATCATATAGTGAAAACGGCTTGCGTGGAAAAATTAGCAAAAAACACCTTTTATTTCTGTTAAGGAAAATCTAATTTTCCATATGTTATTCCCAGGGGCCACTCGTAAATTTCCTTTCATTCTACTCAAAATCGATGTAATTTTAAACCCTCTTCGAGGCTTGTATGCGAAAATGGGGCACCTAAATCAGTCACTATCTGACTGACGGTCTATATAGAAAATATATGTTTTTTTCTAGTAAGTTAACATTAATGTACAATTATTGTTATTTTTAAGTCAGGATCTATGACTATAAAATTTTACATTATAGAAACTTGTAATAAAATAAACTACACTTTTACATTAGAAGCTATAAAAAGACATTGAATTGAGATTTATCTTTGTGTTTTTTTTTTTGTATCCCGTTTTATATTCTGGAACGAAGTAAATCTTGCTTTGATGTTTTTTGTCACTCATGTTACTTGTACTCAGTTACTTTTTCACATTATTTTTTGATTATTTCATCAATTATTAAAAAAAAAACTCATTTTACATTGAATTACATAGAAAATTAACGGCACTGACATTTGACCTGCCAACTACAGTCAATTTGGCGAACTTTATAAAAAGAAGGACGGAAATTAGAAATTTGACCATTGCCGATTCACCTCCTTCTCCCTAGTCTTCATAGTCATAATAGTGGGTGTCAACAAACGAAACCGCCATTTAAAATAATACAGTGCGATTTTGTAAGTGAAAATTATGTCCCTGTCACATTTTTATTTTAATTAACTCGCAAATAGGCTTGCGCCTACTGATGCTTTAATAAATCCCGTCATCTTTCTCTAATTTACCAGACACAGTTTTGCATTTTCATATCCGCAATAACAGATTTCACTCCGCAGGTATTCAATTATAAAGTTTTAGATTGAATTAAACCCGTCTAGAAAGACAAGCTAAAGTGCGCCAAGTACTCGCCCGATACTCCCACGGAAAATAAACAATCAGTGGTGCCGTTGAACTTTCCAGCAAGCAGCGCTGCCACGGGTACAGTAGGAACTCTCCGCGTATTTTATTTATCGCCGTGAAGTAATTAAAATTTTCAGCAAAGTGGCGCAAACTTCGGAGACTGTCATAACTCCGAACTCCAAAAGGCACTTGGGTAAGTTCGTGCACGTTTAGTTAAATTTGGACTTTAAATGACTGAATAATATTTATCATGACGAACAGGTGCTATTATATGGGATTTTATATTTGTTCGTTGCGATGATGTTTGCTATCCCAACTAGCATAATAATTTGTCGCTGGAAATGCAAAGGGGCGTAAGTCGAAAAATGTCGAATTTGGCTTAAGACCAATACAAATCTGTTATAGTGGACAATGAGTCGTTCATCTCCTTCTTCTAGTTTATGTAATGACAAATTAATATGTGGACGGATCTCCTTCTCTTATAAGTGGTAAAAAGACAAACAGGCATATGTCGACTTACGCCCCTTCATCTTTTCAAATCACTCTCGATATGGGACAGTGGTGGACAAAGGCCTCTTTTTATTTAGTATTATATAACGAATCTTATTTGATTCCACATAATAACACACTTAAAATCGATATTAGTGATAACGTTTAGTTTAATGAGTTTAGGTTAATAATACACTGCTTCATGATCACTAGACAAGTAGGCGTATTTTACTTAATTATATTAGTAGACAAAAATATGAAACGACAAAGAGGCGTATCTCTTAATATTATAATTAGTTCGTTACTTTATAATTCAATAAATATTTGTATAAAATTGAGTTTTTGTTAACAATACGCTGCTCCGTGGCTACTTGACATGTAGGCGAAAGTCATGAAATTATAATAGTAGACAAACCAAAGACATTACAACATATAGACAAAATGTTTCATTCATAAATCCCATACAATTGCGGACTGTTATTGTTTTAAAATTGTTAGTGAGTGGAAGAGAGAAAGACAGATCTCTTATGACCGGCTGGCAACGTTGTAAACAGTGTCCATAATATGCTCGCCAGTGGCGTAGAGTTTTAAACTGGTTTTTTTAGTAATATAATTATGATGATTTTTTCATGTGTGTAGATTATGAGTTGGACGTTATTTGTCCTTATCCACCGTGACCTTTTCAGATCTATTGTGGGACTCCTGTTTATTTTAGAGTATGTCGTCTAGCCTGGTCTTTTTTATTAGTCTTAGTAGCTTTGACAGTGGCTCCCGCATGTAGTTGCATGCAATTGGCTTTTCTTCGCCCAATGTTAGAAACCTCATTCCAGCCAGGCATTCACATTGGCACAGGACGTGGAATATGGTTTCCTCTTCTTCTTCACAGAACCTGCACAAAGTTGCTTCAAAGTGGCCTGTCTCAGTCTTGGATAGTTGTTTCACCATTCCTGAGACTCTGTTTGCATCCATTGTTTAATGGACACCTTGCACAATGCCTTAGCAACTCCACAGAAGGGTCCGGGGCCTGTCCTTGCCTTATATGAGCCTCCTCGGGATAATTCGTCGGCCTTTTCGTTGCCCTGATATTCCTCATCTCCTGGAACCCAGGCTAAGGTCAACTTATTTTAACTACTTAGCTCTGTAAGGTCTTCTAGACAGTCTTTCACCAGTCGTGATTTAATTTCTAGTGAGAGAATTGCCTTCAGAGTATATGACAATAGTTTTGCATGATACTTGCTGATTTTTCATGTAGGTAAATTTAAGTACAAGTAAATTCAAATACAAGCGAATTCAAGTTACCTTTCGATTTTTAATATTTATTGGTTTATAGTTTATTGTCATTTACTATATATTTGCCTGGTATGATGTTAACCAAAATTATTTAAAATTTTAAATTAACATTAAGTAGGTAGGGGTATCTACATAAAACACTGTCCTAAAAATATATCATTTTTTAATTAATAATTACAAAAAACATGGTAAAAATTTTTAAAATAATGTTTTAAATATATAAAATACTTTAATTTTATTAACTAAAATTTGATTTAATTTTTTTATGCTTAGTTATTAATGTTATAACTTACTGCAACGTTTCTTTTTGCAGCAGGTGGTGTTCCAAAAACAGTTGAATCAGAACTAAAAACCCGTACATTAGATATACATACATATAGGTAATAAATAATGTTTAGGGGTAAACAAAAAATTTATATTTTGTATTTTTACCTGTTGGATAAGTCATCCAAAAATAGAAAGCCCTCACACCGTCTGGAGTTTGCATCTTTTCTAATATATCTAGTACCATTTGCACGTACCAAAACATTTTCAGGAAAACAGTGTTCTAAACACAACTCTGGGTTTTTACGAAGGGACTGATTTTCAAGGATTCCTATTAGAGAAAACCAAAGTTTTCTTTCCTCAGGATCTTGCGGAAACCTAAATAGAGTAATAAAAAATATGTATAGGTGCTCAATAGGTAAATCATTTTTAAGGTATTCTACATTTTACGTTAAATTTTCTTTGCCACTATTCAATAATTATTTATTGGTATAATTTACTAATTTATAAAGAGAATATCACTTTAAAAACTGTTTTAAGACTGTTTTAGACTACATAAGTTTTTGATACAATTTCTTGTACAATTTAAATTGTATATTATCAAACCTGCAGTAAATTGTCTGGAAAATTAGATTGGATAATCATTTTTCAAACAATTTACTGTGATCCTATATAATTTAAATTCTATAAGAAATTGTATCAAATCTTGTACAAGCCCTACTCCACTGGTTCAAATGAAAACAACATATCTTAACCTAAAAATACTTACCGATGAAACCATACATTTCGACTTAAATGATCTACCTTTTTGAACACTGCACATGCATGTACTTACCATAATTCTTTATATTTCTCACAAAAGTTCACAAAAATAGTATTTTGTAAATGAATAAATCAATAAGTCACACAGAAACTGTCAGATAGTGTCAGAAATACAAAATAGCTGTTAGACTTGATTGGCAACGTTGCGGCTGGTTACGGTACTACATTTCATTCATAAAAATTGTAAATTCGTAAAATAAGATATTCAGCGTTGCCATATTTACGGAGTTCTTCGAAACCCTAATATTTTGTTTAGATTAATATTGATTTTTTAATAAAAAATTTAGCTTATATTGAAACTTCAAAGAATAATTTGGTTAAAAACATATTTTTATTTATATAATATAAAATTATAGTTACAGGACACATCAAATTTTATTTTTCGAAAGTAATTTCTCCAAATAATTTTGACAGACTGATAAAATCGGCAAAGACTCAATAAACGAGAATCTGGTGAGAATAATGATTTGCCACATAAAAATGTAAACAATTTGGTCTCTTAGTTGTAATGTCTTTGAGACAAACCAAAGACATTACAACATAGACAAACATATGGATAAACTAGGAGGCGTATTTCTTTTAAAAGTCTACAATTTTGTTATTATAGGAATTAATATCTGCAGTGTAGGACACAGGACACAGGGTGTGATGCTATGGGTAATCCTATTAACTATTCTAAGAACCTTTTATCGAAAGTACGAACCGTAGAGTACCTATACCTAATTTCAAATCATTGCGTTTAATCCATTTTAAATTTTAGTTTGGGATTTATGTGGTGAAAAAGGATTTCTCTGTGAAAAATAAAAGTTTAATGCTACTGGTAGGTTCTTGGGAATTTAGCTAGTACAGTCTATTCGCTATACTTACGCGGGTTTCGGATTAACAAAATTATGCAAATTAGTCATTGACAACCAGTTCTAATAAGCCTCTTCCCAAGAAATTAGGTAAAACTGCCCTAATGGTCAAATTTAAATTAAAATAAGATTAGGGAAGGTACTAAATTTGTTACAAATATTGCAGTTGAATTGATTCTTTGCAAGTGTTGACATTGTATGTATATTGTAAATTTAGTGGAAATTTTAAAAATGCCTAGACGTATGTTAGATGTAGATAGTCTAATTTGTAGTGTACATAAGTATTTAACGGATGAAAAAGAAAATGGCGGTCCTTTAAAATCGGTGATGTCTGTACAACAACGCGTATGCGATGCTCTAGGAATTAGTGAAACCAAATTAAGAGGAGTATTACAAAATCACAATAGTGAACTTCCGAAAGAAGATCACCGCAAAACTCGCCCATCATTGAAAACGAAAGATATTCCAGATGAAAAGAAATTTAAAATTCGTGATATCATTTATCGAATGAGGGCCAACAAGGAACATGTGACCTTAAATACAATTCTCTCGTAATTAATAGATAGAAAATTTGACGAAATTGGCAGAACAAGTCTATGGCAAATGATACATAACTTGGGTTTCAAATTTCAAAAGGAGAATAACAGAAATGCCCTTTGTGAAAAAAGTTCTGTCGTGCACAAGAGAATTAACTTTCTAAGAAAATATTCTAAATTTAAAGAAGAAGGGGCGAATTTTATATATTTAGACGAAACATGGATATTTTCTAGCGGTGCAACCAAGAGAATATGGCAAGATGATAACGTAAGTCCATCAAACATACCGATGGAGAAGGGAAGCGACATATAAATTTAAATGCAGGAGGGAAATCGGGTTTTATAGAAGGTGCTGATTTAATATTTTCATCTAAATCAAAATCCAATGACTATCACGATAATATGAACACAGAAATGTTTGTAAAATGGTTGCATGAAAAACTTCTCCCAGGTTTAAGTGAGCCCAGCGTAATTATTTTAGACAATGCATCTTACCATTCTAAAGTATTAAACAAAAGCCCAACGAATTCTTGGACTATTGATAAAATTAAAGAATGGTTGACAAAGGAACATATACCATTTCCTCACGCTTGGCAAATATACACGCAAAACCAAAAACCATTGTTGTGGATCAGATTATTAAAATTTACGGT